AAAATCAAAAGTTTGGCTAAGCCAAAACTTTAGCCCCGCACTAATTGGTGTTTAATTGGGTTCCGGGCACAGAATGGGGGAGCAGTCCAAAGTTTTCGAGCTGTGGAGGGGGGGGATAGGGCCACCACGAATTCTGGTTAACTAAAAGCAAGCATCCTCTAAGCCTGGCCAAGCACTTGCCACATTTGCGCTGCATTAAAAATGCATTTCGCCCCCGTTCCTTGCAGCGTGTTTAATAGTCTATGCAACAATGTGAATGTGTGTGCTTCATGGGCGTAATGCTGATGGCGATGGCGATGGGGCTCGTTCCCCGGCAACCATATAATTTGAACATCATGAAGTGCACTTATCAGTGCCGTTGGTTGGCAAGCACTGCCATAGATAAGCATCAGCTGAGTGAGTGTGTGTGTTTGGGAAAAACTGCATTATACTTACCGAAACTGAGGCAATCTTGGAACCTGATGGTTGCCTGGCTGCCTGGTTGCCTGGCTGAGCAGATGAAGCATCCAACGTGCCCTCCCCCCGGGTTCCTCCTAAGCCATTGCTTATTAAAACATATCACGACGTCCCCGTGGTTTTCCTTGGTTTGCACTTGGAAAAACATTCTCATTCCATAAGCTGTACTTATATATCCCGTACAACCATCTTAATTATAAAACTGTTTGTGTGGCGGCAGAGACCAGGCAGAGCTATTCCCTATGACCGCTTAATGGAAAGCTGTCGAGCACGGCTTAGACCTTATATATCACGTTCATAAGGTAAGTTAACTTTTCTTTATTCTTTCATTTGAGTTACATTTTTAAAACTTTGACTTTACAATAGACCTACAATAGTTTTGGTTTTAGGAATATTAGATGCTTCTTAACATTTCTTTCTTCACTTATTCTACATTTATCTCTTTTTTTCAATTTTCAAGGTTTTTCAATAATAGAGCAATGAAAAGGGCTCAAAAAATAAACTAAATTAGTGGTGAAGCGGAATTATCGACTGAAATTGGTTGACCTTTCCACCTAATTAATCATTTTAAAAGTCTTAATTTGATAGAACGATATTATAACTTCAAGTACCCAATAGTTCAACTTCTTATCCGGTCCACTTAAAAGTGCAACATATTTTTGTCGGTGTGGGATTACCTTCTCCAGAGAAAGCAGTTGATTTTGATTGCCGCTTGGACAACGCGTCGTATGATTGTTTTTAGCTCGACTGAAGAAGGGCGAGTCCGGCAGAGCCAAATTGATTTGTGCACGTGCACGGTTAGCTAATGAGGCACGGACGAACCCAAAGCTCCGCCGGATGGCATTCGGAAATGCTTTGGAACGGTCGCCGACACTCTGCATTTTTCTCGGACCCATTCTCCGGTTGCAGCTGACAGGTTGCTGGTTCGGAAGGGGTTCCCCAGGCAGGGGATTGGCAAGGGGTAGGCAGGATGTGTACATGTTGGACAGCTGCCTGTTCAGGGCGGTTGCCATGTTCACTTAATTAACAACATTACGGCATTAACACACACACACACCTCGTACTTCGTAGATACATGTGCTGTGAAAGTTGCATTAAAGTTTTATAATAAATCTAATGGTCAACAAGGACAAAACTGTAATTTTGTTTGTTGGCTCGTCTGACAGGCGGAAGGGCGGAAGGCGGGTATTGGGGGCGTGTCCCGGCCCGCCTTTGTCTTTGCCATGGATGACACATCCTCTAATGGTGCATTCGTGCATATGAAATGGCTGTCAACAAAGGGCATAGGACTTCCTGCAACCGCAGGATGTGCTGCCCTAATGGGTTTGCTTGGCCTTAGTTATGGCAATCACGAGGTGACATATTTACTCGCCCTCTGACCCCAGACCCCTGACCCCCGAAACCCCTGAACCCCAAAGCCATAGCCTTAAAGTGCTTGGGGAAATCAATGGCAAATCGAAATGTGAAAATAAAACGAAAAAAGTGCCGCCAAAGCGATTGATAAGCGCCCTGGCAGACAGGCGGCCCCCAAGGCCACCCACCTGGCCCTCGGTGGGTGGTGGGTAACTGCCAAAGGGGCGTGTTTGATTACGCACCTGGGACCTTTCAAATTGCACACGAATGTGTGCCAGCACATCAAATCAATGTGTCTGTTGACAGTTTTAATTTTCCCAAGTTAAATGCAGGTGCAAATTGATGAAGGGTTTAGGGAAAATATTTAACGAAAAAGCTGGCGACACTAATGATGATGATATATTATTCCAAACGCAAGTCCTTTCTTAGTTAATTTGATAGCTATGTTAAAGGTTTGAGGAAATTATTTAACGGAAAACCTACCAACAAATATGATACATAATTTAATTGATTGCCTTGACATCAGAGAAGCAGTAATTTAAAAAAAATATACACCTATATAATACATTATTTTAAAGTTAAAGCAGGACAAACAAGTCCATTAGAAGAAGGCATTGTACAATTTTGAAAGACTAAAAATACAATTGGGTGATAATAAATACATTTTTTATCTAACTGACCATCCGAGCTTCTTTTTTTTGGATTTCGCATTAATTTAAATGCAATAAAATTGTCTAAAAGAAATCTTTTCCTGGAATATTAGAATATTCGAAGCATATTCAGTAACTCGCTTTGGTGGTCAACAAAATGAAACCCATTTAAAAGGAATATTTCATGGTAAATGTGTGAAACCCGACCAACCAAGCCGGCCTCTCCCAATAGATTTGGACCGCAGGAGCCGGCTGGAGAGGAGAGATTTGCAAATTGGCCAAGATTTATAGTGTTAGCCACAGCGGTTGGATCGCAGGCGCACCTCTGTGCGTGCTGGTGAAAAGTTTTCCCAGCTCGTTGGGAGATGGAAATTAACGCAGGGACAGCCGGAGCAGCTGAGCCGAAACCAAAACAGGACCTGTCTGGCCCCAGTCTGTTTGGCTCTTTTATTTTGGGGAGACTTTTGGGCCAAGTGGCCAGGCACCTGGCTAAAATGAGCAGGGGGGTTTGGTACACCCGCATAGACGGCTGCCGACTAATCTGTTAATTTATGTTGAAAAGTTCAAGGAAGTTTTCAAGCGCTTAGCAAACAAATTGCAATAAATTATTAAGAATATTTGCCCACCAGAAGGGGGGGGACGTTTAAGGACGAGGGGCGCCACAGTTTTTGTGCATTTCATTAATTTATGTTTCGTTGCCTGCCAAAAACTTCTCGCCACTTGTGTGGATAATTTGATTTCTCCGTAGAGAAACTTTGCCCAGCCAGGAGGCGAGATTCACACGCAAAGATAAACACGAGGTGGTGCCGGTGTCCTGGGTCCTTTGTCCCCTGTCTCGTATCCAGTAACCTGTATACTTAATCCTGAATCTGGAATCCCGAATCTGGGGGGCCCCTATCCCTGCACCCCCTATCCCGTCGAGGGTCGAAAGTGGCCAACGAAAAGTTAAAATGTTCTTATGCATAAGTGATGTCCTGGCGCCTCGTCCTTTTCCGCCTTTCAACTGGCGACAAAGTCCTCACGAAGTGCCCGCATTGCAGTTGTTTCCTCTTTGGTCCGTTTCACTTGGCTGCGACATGAAAACTTAATGTCGTAATTAACTGTTGGCGTTTGAGCTTTAAGATGGCCAGTCGCGTATACGCCCCGTATGCTCTTGAATCGCGCATACGCCCCTTAAGCCGAGATTTAAACGCATCGCGTGACCCACTTCCAGGCTGCAACTTTCAATGCCAACGTGTCACTTTATCAGGCTTACAATCGGGCAAATGGTGTGACACGAATTTCCGGCCCCGCAGGCAAAACAAAGCAAATAGTGCAAAACAAGGCTGACTGGCATTTCTGCACGGTTCCCAAAAAAAACCGGAAATGGCTGTAAAAACATCATAGCTCGAACTTGCCACCCGAAACGAATTAACTTTGATGACTTGGCGGAAAGGGCAAAAGGCAGTTACCTGGCGCGATTCCATTTCCGCCGCTTAACGTCATTAAAAGTGCTGAAAATTGAAATTGAAATTTTGGGTGAGCCCAAACTAAGCTGCCGAAAATAGAAGCAATATCCCTACGGATGGCCGGATGCGCCAATTCCTCGATTGGCTGGCTGTGAAATAAGATTGTCAACTGCAATTAGCGCGCTTAATGCATCTTTCGGATGGCAACTGACAGGCAGACAGCGTGTCCTTCTCGCCTGTCAATCTGCTAGATGCTTACCTTGCCCACTTGCCTGCCAAGCTGCCATCAGGCCATCACGGCACGCATCCTGAAGGACCAAGGACTGTGGCACTCAGACATGCATTCGCTGCTCGGCACTACTTGCAGTGGTTGCAAGTAGTGGCCCCTCCAAGTTGCACATTTAAAGACTGCGGCGACTCGAGTGCCCTTCTCCGTCGGCTGATGGCCCTCACCCAACGCACCACCTGCACAGCCAACCACACTTGGCTAAATGGGCCATAGAAGGCGGTTGCGAGCTGCTTTGCTCGACTGCAAATTAAATAAACCCCGAAGATTATAAACTTATGCCCAAAGTGCGGGCCGGGAATGAAAACTTCCGCCACAAATGCTCCGAAATTATTTCACTCATTTTTCACATTTACTCATGGAGATTAAATAGCCGCTTTGGCTGAAAATCAGACGAACTTTTAGGGGTTTTTAAAGGCTTGAACTCACAAGTTGCAGAAAACGATTTGTGGATACGATTTGGATACAACTTAAACCAAACTGAAATTCTTTAATTTAGTTTTATTTGAGTGTTTACCATAATCAGGCTATTTTCGGTGTACAATATCTTCAAAGAACTGATAACATTAATATATCTATTACATTTTTTATTTTTAGCCATTAAAATGGTTAACATTTCAATATTAGTTCAAACCATCCAAAACTGTGTGTTAATATTCCAATCACCTCATCATTATGATATCCCTTTCAAATGGATTTTAGTTATTCAAAATTAATTTAACTACAACATTATAATGGCTTTTATTCAGCTTCAGTCGGAGATTTGTAACAACTATTAAGAACTATTTATAGTAAGTCTATTTTTTGGGCAGTATTCACTTGGCCTGGCAGCACTTGGCTCCCGTCTTGGCGGCGCATTGGCATTGGCTGTTTCCGGCGCAGTTTCCTCCGCACTTTCCGGCTGAGCACTGACAGTCTAAAGGTAGGAGGATTTTTCATTAGTATTGCCTTTTAATAGATCGATTTCCTTCAATTTGGAGGACTGGTACTTACTGTTTCCGCATCCCTTGCAAGGCATCTTGTTGGTTTTGTGGTTGGTTGGTTGTAGTAATTACCGAAACTTTGAAGTTTTGAGACTTTGTGATGCCTTCTGTTGGAAAACTCCGCTCTTTATACCCCATCCAGACCCATCGAAACTATGGGTCGTGCTGGCTGATAAGATAAGAAAGCCGTGTGCAATTGCGCTCGATCGTCGTGCGCAAAAACATTATGATTTTTCATGCCCAACTGATAAGGCTACTTTGCGCACGAACTGATAAGAATGTAAATCATTTGGTGGTGTGCAAAGCACTGCGGTAACTATAAGAAGGCTGGACATCTCAGCTGGTAATCATCAAAGAGTTTTAGCTAACAGCAAAGTCAATCGAGTTTATATCTCTTCAAAGAAAATATATTAAAATACAATATGGGTTGCAAGGCTTGTGGAACAAGTGAGTATACAAATATTTAGGTTTCTATAAAAGAATGTCCTTATTAATATTCTGTTTAATCCCCAGACTGCCAGTGCTCGTCCTCCAAATGAGGTGACAACTGCGCCTGCAGTCAGCAGTGCCAGTGCTCCTGCAAGAACGGACCCAAGGATAAATGCTGCTCCTCTAAAAACTAAATACATATACAAATCCCCTTGAAACTTCTCTGGCCTTTTGTGATATACAACCTCTTATGAAATCAAAATAAATCAACAATCACTGCAATTTAATGTTTAAAATCAAATCTTTATTGGCCATTTTGACAAGAATAGTTCTTTAGTTATTTCCCACTTTAGTTTTAGAAATTGCACACCCAATTAGCGTTTGAAATTACATTTAAAACACTTACACAATGTACACAATTAATTCAAGTACACAGTGAGTACAGGACGTTCAAATAGTATCCAAATATCAACATTGTTTTTGGCGAGCTTTTCTCATGTGTATCTGTGTTGTGCGGATGTTTGTGTGTATTTCTCGGGGAATGTGTGTGTGTGCGATAGTTTTCACAATTAAACATTAAAAACTTTACGTACACAATATTACATTTTGTTTCGCAATTTGTGAGTACACAAGAGGAAATCCGCTTCCATTCACATTCAAGTGTTTCAATTGTTTACTGAATTGTTTATTTATTTGGGGGTGTTGTTCTTAAGTCTTATAAAATTCTTAAGGTTCACGTACAAAGCTAAGTGTAGTGTTGTGTTATTGTTGCTGCTTACATAAATGATTATGTTTACGATCTCTCATACAAACGTGTGTCTCTAATAACTGACTAAAAAGGCAATAGCATTTGGCGCATTTGAAATGCATTGCAAACTCTGCCCTGATGACTCAAACAAACAAGTTTTAAAAAAAATATACATGGATTCGTTAAATTTTAGTGCATTTTCAGCGTTGGAAGCCAATAAAGGATGGGTTATAAAGCAATTCACAATGTTACTTAGATTATAACTAAAATAAACGCAATCATCTCCTGCGCTGCTGCTCTCGTTGATTGGTTTTCATCTTTCGTTTAGCATAGGCTTAGCACGCGAAGTATTTTGTATTTCAAATTGTTAAAATTAGGCGATTAAAATTAAAATCAAAATCAAAAATTTAGATTCAACAAATAGTTACTCACTAACTAAACCGATTCTCATATCATCATTATCATTTAAACGTAATGCTTTGTCACAGACGAACACGTCGTAGTACAAAAAAAGAAATCAAATATATATAGGTATATATAAAAATATAAAACGAATAACATGCGGACACATTCCAAAGGTTTATACAACACAGAAATTCTAAATTCTGCATGGGTCAAACACAATCATAATCACGATAAAGACAGTATTCTGTATTCTGGCTGTGTGTGCTGTAGGTGTTTGTGTTGAGGTGTCGCAATTTGCATGCATTGCTCTGGTAGATCTTATTGTTGTTTTGATGTTGTTTCTGTGGTTTGGCGTTTCACAAAAAGCTGCAAGGATAAAGGTAAAAGTTCACTTTAAAATTGATCAAATAAAATCCTACGAAAATAGTTAGTTCTTAGTAGAAGGTAATAGGTACACGAGTAACATTTAAAATCTGCAGCTAACTTGGTTTTCAAAAATAGTTTCACCACCTGCGACGAGAAAGCGCTTGTGTCCATATATATGTGTATATAAATATATAGATAATCTGCATGTAAATTCGTAATTTCGTTTCATTCCCTGTGCAGAGTACAACTCTTCTAGCTAGTCCTTAACAGCTATCGGATCCTTGACCATTGAAACCAGCTTACTTCCGTGCCGGAGTTCCTATCCTTTCTCAAAATTCTTTTTGTATAACGTACGTAAATAGCGTAAAACAACAATTAACGTTTAAAATACGTTTAACAATTAACTGAACAATTATGAACATTTAATACGTAGCATAGTAAACCTCTTCGTTACAATATGATATTTTCTCTACATATAACATTTAACTACAACTTATTTCTTTCGTTTCTTTCGAAGTGCAAAAAGAGATTAGTGTGTTTAGGTGTAACAACAATATCAAGAGATGAAATACGTACCAAAACAAAACCTTCCACTACGATGCATTCGCAAATCTAATAATTACATCTAGATAACATTAAATAAAACTTTCGAATAGCACAATGAATCAGGCGCCACATCGTTGCAATCGTTGTGGTGGCGTACACATCATCGTCGGACTTCCAAGATAGCGGTGGCTATCTGATATCGTTTATACATAGGCTTCTCTAGTTGCTATAGTTAGTTTCAAAAGTTCTCAAAGTTCGTCATCGAATCGAAGTCCGCCATTCCAAAGTCACCACTAAAAGAGGGGTCAAACGAATTGGTGTACAAAAAATTAGAAAAGAAAATCATTAATAAATAATAATAAGCGCGGATTAAATAAATCGAAGTCATGCGGACGGGCTCGGGGAAAAGGTGGGGATAATGCTTTAGATGTAGGGCATTTAAGAATGGAATGACAGAAGTGCGGCGCCAAGTGAAAATTTGAGTATTTCGAAAATTTAGCCAGTCCCTAACAATTAAGAGGGACCGGTTCCCTTAACATTAAATATAATAACAATCACATTGAATTGAATTTAAAATCGTAATACGAAATTACAACAGCAACGAACATGCAAATAATCAAACATTAACCCTCAAAAAGGGCATGCAGGAATATTTTAAATCTAGTATATCAATAAGATTCAAAGATTTGCCAAATAGATTAGCTTCTTTTCTTTTTTGTTAATCTGAAACTTCCTAAATCGGTTGCTCGTTTAACTCAGATCGGTTTAGACCAGATTTACAGGTGCATGATGGTGCTATTCTGCAAGCTGCGTTCAAAGCGAAATATATAGAAGAGGGTAAAGAAAAGCGGTTAGAGGATATCATTTTAAATTTTGAAAAGTTTCTTGACTTCGGTTTCTTACAGTATTCATCGCGTTGAAGCTGAAAAGTTTAAAAAGATGGCAATACTTTGAACACAAAGAGAACAATAAAATGCACTCGCTTAACGAAAAAAATTGGTTAAGTCACTTAAAACTAGATTGCGAACTATCAATAAAGTTAGTCATTTCCTTGGAGAGCCCATCTGAAATTCATGAAACAGGGGTGACCATTGGCATGTGCTGCTGATGAGGCGATGCAATGGAATGAGCATGTAGTGACCATCGGCTGTTCAGTTGGGGGAGTTAAGGAGATGGTAATCAGGACGGATCGATCGGATGAGAGCGCGTTTTGGGGCCATGAGTGAATGCGGACGAACAGCTCGGGAATTATCATCAAGCAATCGGGTTGCAATGATTTGGGTTGAGTGATTTGAATGCGAATCTTAACTAAAATGTTATACCTTTCGGTAAGTGCCACAATCAACTAGCGACCAATACCCAGCCATCAGTTGTGGATAGACTGAATAACAAAGCGATGTCACAGCATATGATCAACATTTAAAAAACGTACGGACAGTGAACGCTCTTCATTAGGGTATTACTGATTACACCCAGCAGGGGGTCGTTGGGTGGAGCGGTTGTCACATATTTCTCTAGGGCCTCGGCCGTTTCGCTAGCATCGGAATCTGATTCCTCAGGTGGGGCTGGGCTAAAGTAAGTGCTGGCGCTTTGTGGTGAGAAACTGAACCGTCACCCAAAAATCAATAGCCGCAAAAGGTTGAAAATGAAAATAAACAGAGAGTAGGATGGTTAAGTTTCTGTGTAAGTACAAATAAGTAGAGTAAAGTGACATTGTGAGCTCATCCAGGAGCTCAGACATAGGTGCCCAATTAATTTTATTAGTTTGGTAACAAAAGAGCCTCAATTTTGGGTTAGCCAGGAACAAACGCATTCGGGTTCGCCTTTTTTGGCCCTCCACAACGTCTTTTTCGAATTCAAAGTATTGCAATCTGATTAAACTTTTTGTCAAAAACAATCATAATCAACGTAAGGTAAAGCAAGTAAGCAGAAACAAATAAGGCGGTTCAGGCAAGATGATATAGAGGCTTTATCGATCATCTCGGACCCAGGATTAGCGCTCTACTCAAGCAAGCCAAGGATAAACTTAGTAGTTAAGCAAACAATTATTGTTTTTTTTTGCTGTTCGCTGTCGATTTGGTGTCTGAGCTGTGGCGTCGGCATCCAAAACTTACTTTCCCAATTGCATGTTTTCCTGGGCACCGTGATGATGCGGTGTTCCAACAGTGGATCCATTGTCCCCATTGCTACAAACGTGGACGTGCAATGTGCTCTTCACATAACCGGTGATGGGATCTAGAACGAGGGGTTCGGGTTCTGATTAGGAGTGTTAAACCCTGTTATCTCGAATTCCAACCATACCTTGACGCTTCGAGTAGAACTCGCCAAAGGCGACGTCCCTTTTCATGGGGCTCGCGTTGCGATCGCTAGGATGCAGCCAGCACAGCACGTCCAAATCACGAATGCGATCGGCCAGGTTCAGCACCTGGAAGTCACGGGCAGTCCATGGGGCCAGCATGGTTACTTCTCCCAATGGGTTTACGTAAGCGATGGTGACTCCTCCTGCAGGTTCATGGGAGATGTTACTATTTTATTTAACCTTTAAATTTAAACCAATGATCTGCACTTACCCAGCTCGCTATCGGAGAAGCGGAGCAGGAAGGTGCCGATGCCATAAACTGAACGCAGCAGATCAGCGTGGGCCTTGGCCTTGTTGATGAAGCCCATGATGCAGCCAGCCTTCCACATGCCCAACATGTGATCTTTGGTGAGTTTCATGATGGCGAAGAACCACTCCCAGAATGTGAAAGACCTGTCGGGCAAGGGCTCCTTGCAGAACTGGTTCCACGTAATGTACTCGGTACGCTCCTCACGCTGGAGCTTCTCGTCTGTAAACACAATGACAATTATAATTGTTCAGCAACAAAAACTAAAGATCCAACTCACAAAGGAAGTCCAGGTTATCAATAGTCAGGGAGCGCCCAGTGCAGGATCCAAATTTGATGTTTAGTGCGACCGACAGCTGGGCCCAGGTAACGCGGTCGGTAATCATGAAGGGATCGCGTACAATCTCCGCAAACGCGTTGTCCCAAGTAATTGTGGCCCAGGACTGGGGCTCCTGGTTGCCATGAACGATCACCACAACGGGCAGGGACAGGGTCCACACCCGGATTTGGAAATCGTTTACTGTGGTGGTGGTGTAAAAGAATAGGGCGAACTTCTCATCCATAACGCTTTCGGTGCCCTTCTTCTCTGCCCGCTTTATCTTCTTCAGCTGCATGT